TTTTTTCTCATAGTGAACTGGTTTTGAATTTCAGGCTTAACAGCTGAACAATGATATATTTGAAACCATATAATAACATGCTTTAAAAACTTCTTCTAATATAGCTAAGAAAAAAAGCCCAAATGAGACATATAATGGGAGTCCTATGAGTAAGGTAGGTGATTTTCATAATTTTTTTGAAATGCATGCAAGTATTTTGGATTTTAATTATTTAATGTGATTGAAATGTCTTAAATGCTCATTTCTTCCTAATCTATTTTGCTCATTGCTGAGTTTTTTATTAAATTAGAGGATATTCTTCAACCAGACGTATGGTGTTACTCTTTTAGATCAATGGAATTAGAATGTTGTTAAGGATATGATAGTTAAGAATGGAGTGAAAATTGAGAAATTCACTTTTGTTAGCACCTATCCTACTACTTCAAGTAACCATATTCTTGGAAATAATGAATGCTTTGAGCCATATACTTCCAATATCTATAGTCATAGAGTTCTAAAGTGATAATTCCTGGTTTTTTTTTATTCATCTCTTTTTATTTATTTGTTCTCTATTCCTTATAACTTATTTTTTATTTGTCTTAAGTGAGTTTGTAGTGGTGAATAAGCATCTTTTTCATGACTTAACTAAGATGGATCTTTAGTTTCTTACTATTAAGATTCTATTGAGAATATTTTAGAAATACCTCAAGAATTGAAAGTAATTTACAAGTATGAATTATTGTTTCTCCATGGTCTTCTAACCAGGGCCCAAACATCTATTCTATTTTTTTCTTTTACCTTTAAATGTGAACTATAAAGCTAATGCTTATATTAATCTATACATCTATTACTTATAATAGAAAGAGTCCCTAACTCTAATTTTCTACACACGTATTGAATGTCTTAAAAATAAATTAAAGAATAGATTTAGGCAATAAAAATTTTTCACATTGTTTACTTTAACCAACTCAAGTTTCTAGAGGGCAAAGTTTCTAGAAGTTTCTACAATTTTAAAGGTGGATTCTTGAACTTGGAGTCATCAAAGATATGTTTTTAGCTTTGCATGTGATAAAAACTCTAAACATCTAAAATTGGTTTGCTTTACTTGCTTTTTCTAGTTTTTGGTAAATTTTCTTTGGTTTTTAAATTTTAGGTTTTTTTTTTTTTTTTTGGGCTTGATTTTAAGGCTATGTTTCTGGGATTATCAGAAGAAATGGGTACGTTTCTATTTTTTCATACTTGTTAATTTCTTTTTGGTTTTTAGGTTATATTGTTTTTAAGTTTTTTTTTTTATGGGGATACTCTGTGAAAGCTTATTCTTTTTTTTTTCCTTTCTTGTTTATATGAATTATACAAAATTCTTTGTATTTTTTTTAAGTTAAAAAAATGTCATGTTCTTTTGTTACTATACTGTTTGACTATTTATGGTTATTAAAGCTTCCACATTCTTTTATTCTTTAGGTAAAGTACTTTTGAAATAATTTTCTTTTCCTTCTGTTAGAAAGAATAAAAAAAAAATTTTTGGGTATTTGAAAGTGTTATTTGTTGTTGTTGGGGTTAGACAGTTAGACGGTTAGATTTGAAGCAAAGCTAAAAAAATGATAAGCTAAGTAATATTGTTTCTTTTTTAATGTTTTAGATTGTTGAAAGTTCTGCTTTTAAAAGGTTTGCTTATATTTTTTTAGAGAAATAGGTTTTGTCTTAAGTTGTCCTTCTTATCCTTTTATTTAAGAGGATTTTATGGTGGATATATAGTAACATCTTGAATAAGGTTTGCTTTTTCCTTTTATATAGATCAATAGTTTTTGACTGATTAAAGAAAGGTTATGGTAGTATGTGGAAATTGGTAGTGGTTGCTAGAAAGTTCGATGTATGTTCATGTGCGAATTATATTTATTCGGATATTTGGCCATGAAGCATCAAGGTTAGTTTTGCACCATTTCTTGTTATAAATGTTCTTTGTAAGTCTTGTATTTATTTAAACTTCAAGCTGATGCTCTATCTGTTCGAACAAATATTTAAGAAAATTAAGAAAATCATAATAAAGATTTGATATATTACGGCTTAATGCATCACATAAGGTATGCCACAACAAATGGAATCAAATAGTGCTTCATAAAAATTTTTGAGATTTTAAAAAATAATAATATCATTACAATTTTTTCTTTATAATGATATTAATTATCATATGGTTTCATTACACAATTGACAAAAGAAATCAGGATTAAAGTTTAGTGTTGTTTTGCAGGATTGTAGAGAATGTGGGCGAGAGAGTGACTGAATGTGTGGAGGGGGATCATGTGCTTACAATATTCACTAAAGAATGGAAGACATGCAAGCACTGTGCATATGATAAAAGTAACATGTGTTAAGTCCTAGATTTGGGAAAAAAAAAGGTGTAATGCAAAATGATAAGAGGACACACTTATCAATTAAAGGAAAACTTGTTTATCATTAATTGTGTTGTTTCGAGTTTTAGTGAACATACAGTTGTGCACTCTGGATGTGCTGTCAAAGTTAGCTTGCATGCACTTTTAGACAAAATATGCCTACAAGTTATGGAGTAGTTGCAGGTAACCAAACTTTTACTATAATATTGTTGAACTCATTTTGTAGCTTTATCTTTATGTTTCAAGGATGAAGTAGTAGGAATATATGTTGAAACCTTTACAAATAGCTAATGCTTGAATAAAAGTACAAAAAGTCTTTGGGGTTCCATGGATTTCCTTAGCTAACTAATATACTCTTGAGCATTATAACCAACAAACAAAAATTTGTATCATCAGTGAAGCGAGGGCAGCCTATTGGTATTAAAGAAAAGTAGTTAGTCAGTTTCTTAATAGAAAATTTTCACCACATTATCAATTTTTCCAATTGAAATAGAAGGTTATTTGTCTTTACTATTATAAGAGTCTCCCTTTTTTAGTACTACAGCCTACCAAACTAAGTGCCTTTTTCTTTGTAATGCATCTTACCAAACAAAATGCATGACCATCAACCCCAGCCTTATTTTGTTGCTATTTTTTTTTCATTTACTTTCCATTTTATAAAATTTAGAATGGTGCTATTTGCACCCCAATTTCTTCCTTTTACACCCCACTACTATTAACATTTAATTTTTTGCTCAACACACCCTAAACCTGAAATACAAATTTACCAAAAACCTAAATGCCCCATCTCTTCGTATGCCATCTTTTCTCTCCTTTCAACAAAAAACCTAAAGGATTTTAAGCCCTAATGAAGCCAAATTCAAAGAAAATTTCATCCATTTAAAGTTAAAAAATATAAAATCAAAGGTAAATTGTCTGTTCTTTTTATTTTTTTGTTTGATTTCGTGTTTAGTTTTATAAGATTTCATGTTGAAATATTTAGGTGCGATTCAAAACTTTTGAAAATAGATTTCTAAAAGTTCTTAAAAATTTTCAAAAATGAATATTCGAAAACTTTTAAGAATTTTAAAAAATTTAAGGGTTCCAAAAATGGATATCCGAAAATTTTTAAAAGCTTTAGAAAATAGATTTTTGGAATGGGATGTGAAAAACAAAAAAAAAATTGATTAATGGTTATTTAAATAATTTTATTAAAGATTAAAATTTACGATGAATTGAGAAAAAGTTAAAATGCAAATAACAACACTCTAAAATTTATTATTTATTTTTATACAATTTCAAATTTCCAATACCATCTCATTAATACTTTCAATTCAAAATACCATATATCTTTGTGGTACTTATTTATTTTCCAATACTTTCCTTAATATTACTAAGTTTTGGAACTACACGACTTCAAATTATATTTTATGATCCGTATGATGGTAATATGAGTCAAAATATTTATTATTAAAAAATTTAAATAGTCAATTTCAATTATAATTTTATTCAAATAATCATCTTAATCAATGTAGATTTTTAGTCTATAATAACATTATTTATTTTTATATACATTAAATTTAATAACATTATTTATTCATATAATAATATCATGTACGTTAAATTTAATATTGAGTCAAATATTAAATTAGCTAACAAACTTCTTAAATGAATAAAAATTAAAATAATTTATTTTTAATTTTATACTAATAAAATTGTGATGACTAATTATAAAATTATTTAAATTGATTCTATAAGCAATGTGACAAGCAAATAATATTTTTGTTAAATTTAAACTTATTATGATTAATTTGTTTGAATACTAAAGCTAACAAATTAGTGATATTTTTAATTTTTTTGAATCTCACTTCTTATGGTTCATAATCATAATCATTTACACATTCCTTGATATTTATATATATATATATATATTTGGTAAAAAGAAATTTAAGAATAGATAAGCTATTCAATCTCCAAATTATAATAAAATATATTGTATCTGACAGTTTAAAATAAGTAATTGTAAATCGTACATTCACAATGATCTCAATAAATAATCACCAATAAAATTCGAATCAAAGACCTTTCATAAAAAAAAAATTACCTTAATCGATTAAACCCCGATACATTTTTTGATATTTATATTTAACTTTAGTAAATTTTTTATTATTAACGCAATAACTATTTTGCAAATCTCATTTCCTTTGCAAAAGAATAATATTTTAATTTTAAAATTTGACAATACCCTCACCGCCATTGCCATCACCATTTCTCTCCCATTTGATTTACCCTTTTCCTCCGTGCCTATTTAGATTACTGGCCAAAGTGGGCGTTTCAGCAGAATATCACACACGATCCCCATCTCCAAAAAAAAAAAAAAAATCCCTCGGAAATCAAAATCAGTTCTCGAGAAGAAATCACCAACTTTGACCTAATTGAAAACACAGAAACAGAACACATTATCATAAGTAGGACCCGTCACGTGTTACCATCTACGGTCCCTAATAAGAGTAAAGAGAGATGCTCCTCTTTTTGGGTCCCTCTCTTCCTCTATCTTGCAAATAAGGTGGGGGCCGCTTCTTTGGGGTTTGTTTCTTTTTCTCTTTCCCCCTTTCTATTTAATTTATCTTTTTAATTCCATATAATCTCTGTTCCATGTCCCACTCTTTCTGATCTGTTCGTCACAGTATATTGGGAAAGGAAAACAGGGAAAATTCAAAACCCAGTCAACTCTTATTCCTGACTAATGCTACTTTTGAAGAAATATTTTTTTATAAATCTCTCATCTTTTAAGCTAATCATCCTGATTTTTTTTGTGGGTTTGTTGATAGGTTAATAGTCCTTATGTTGTGTAAAAGATGGAGTGCAACCATAATCAAACGATAGAAGAAATCGACGAGAGAATCAACAACAATACCGCCATCATCATCAATGAAGAACAACAAGAAAAACAACACCACAGCAACACCACCACTCCAAGTTTCTCAGCTTCAGAGGCAACCGTAATGGACCCAAACCAACCCATGAAAGAAGAAGACTTAACAGACTCGGAGCCACAAGAATTTACCAACCCAACCCTCGTGCATAGCCTCGTTCAAGTCATGCCTGCTGCCCAAACGAACCGCACTTTGGCCGCAAAACGCCCATCAAAAGACCGTCATACCAAAGTTGAAGGCCGTGGCCGTAGGATCCGCATGCCTGCCACTTGTGCGGCCAGGATTTTTCAACTCACCAGAGAACTGGGTCACAAGTCCGATGGTGAAACGATCAGTTGGTTATTAGAACACGCGGAACAAGCTATTATTGAAGCTACAGGCACAGGCACAGTCCCGGCTATTGCTGTTTCTGTTAATGGCACTCTCAAGATACCAGCTTCTTCAGGGAAACAAGATGCTGACTTGGCAAGGAAACGTAGGAAAAGACGTTCAAGTAGTGAGTTCATTGACGTTAACGAGCATTTAAGTTCGGTTTCTTCAGGATTAGCACCAATTGTACCAATGACTTATAGCAGTGTCAATGTAAATCCACAAGGGTTGGTTCCTATATGGCATATGGGTACTTTAGGTGTACTTCCTGCGGCTGCACCTGGTTCAAACCAGGCACAGTTGTGGGCGATTCCAGCAACTGCAACACCTTTTTTTAACGTTGCAGGTCGACCAATATCTAGTTTTGTGTCTGCTATGCAGCCAGAGTTGCAAGATTCCAGTGTTGGCTCGATGGGTTCAAGTGTTGTGCCCAGTTCTAGTTCAGGTGCTACAAGTGTTGCTGGGGTTAGCGCTAGTAGTAATGGTAATAATAATTCTAGTATTAGTACTACGCAGATGCTTAGGGAATTTTCTTTGGAGATTCTTGATAAGAGAGAACTTCAATTCTTGGGTCGTCCTGCTAATCACCAAACGCCATGTTCAAAGCCTTCTTAAGACAAGGAACAGGTTAAGTTTCTTGATTTTGATGATACAGAGGTAGAGTTTTTAGGGTTTTAGGATTTTTGTTTTTTGTTTTTTTGTTTTTGTATTTTTGTAATTGTAATTGCAAAGACCAGGGTTTCCATTAATTCAAAGGGCTTTTTGTCGTTTTAATGTTTTACTTGCTTTGGTGTTGCCTATTTATCATCTTCGTCTTCTTTCTGCTTTTTGGGAAGAAAACTTTTCTGGTCCCAGGGATGGTGGGGTCACGTGATATTCGGATATGCACGTGGACGGTGGGTCCCATCATTTTAGGGACGCGTGGGGTTGTAACTAGCAGGGTCCTTTCCACATGGTGGGTCAACAAGAAAAGTTGAAGGCTAGAGAGAGTGGCAGGAAAGGGGTGGTGGCCCGTGGACCAAGCCGAGAGTCTTAATGTAGGCCACACGTATTTGTCACGTGATTGAGGCACGAGCACCTAGGGATGCGAGCCTCACCAAAAACCAAAATTTCTCGTGCTGATGATCTTTTGGTTGGGTACTTGGGGTTCGATTAGGCATTTAATTTTTTTTTCATAACTTTTTAAGCCTGCGTTTTCGGCCGGCGGACCGGACTGGCCCCTGGCCCTCGGCTGACACGTATCCTCTGCCAAGTTCTTCTTGTGGGGACCAGCTTCTTTCCATGCTTGACACGTGACCCTCGAGTCTTCATGATTGATCACTATGATCCACTTTAGCAAAGTCGTAATGCAAATACTTTGTTTCTTGTCGGTGGATATTCTCTATCAAATAATGTTACCAATGATATTTTTCTTTATCAATTTAAATCCCAAATTTCGATTGTCCTTTGCTCATCTAATGGCGATAGTTTGTGATGGTCACTCTCAAGCTCCTCTTTCAGTCAAATGGGTGTTAAAATGAAGTTACTTTAGTTGTTATATATAATCATGGTGTGGAATATTTCTTTCGGCATGTAAATACCCCCAAAAGTTACCCTTCGCTGAAAATTTAGAATGAAAAGGACGATAGACTTTGGAGCTTTAAACGAAGATAGATACTGATAATTTGGAGGCATATTGCCATTACCAACATCATTTTTCTAATTATAGCATTCGTCTTAAAATCTGTTGGAGGACCGGTACCTATTAACTTGGAAGTGAACACAACCGGTTAGCCTCTTGCACGTCAAGTAGGGGTTTAAATTGTTTGGGTTTTGCAAGCAGCCAGCACATTCTTTTTCACGCCAGGTTGGTCTGGTTAGAGAGCCCAATAACCTTGATGGGCCACTGTTTTTTATTTTCATTATAAGTTCTCTGGCTTAATCTGTGTTTCATTTTGCATTTTTGGCGCATGACATGGTCTACCCACCTCAAGTAATGCAAACTTAGCTTGCATTAAGAGCAACCCGCTTCCAACTTTTTATGGTCAAAGTTTCTGGATTCCGTGTCCATTTCTTTGCTTTCTTAGAAGCCAAACAATACAACAAACTATCGTTCCAAAAATTAAGAAGAATCATAGTACAATATTAATGTACTATAATTTATTTGATTTATATACTTTCTCTTTCAGCGACTGCTCGCATTTCATTAAGCAACCTGATAGATATAAGCCAACAGTCGCAAAGCTTTTCACCATAGCTTTTTGACTCGCATATTTCATTTTAATTAATAATACTAGTATTTACAATAAGAAACCCGAGTTGAATTCGAAGCCTTTATTTAAATGCATCCATCGGTATACAAGGACGCTGATTCAAGGATCAAAATGTTGAAAGATCAGAGTATAACACTCAAAAAGATTAATCGATTAAGACTTAAAGAGTTTATAATTAGATGGAAATATAAACTTGGTCTCAAAGTACAACAATACCAATACTAATACCGTGTCAATTTTCTACATTCTGTTCTCAATTTGAGTGACTTAAAAGCATACAGAAAATATATTTACTAAATGTTCAATCACATTTCTGTTGCCATGGCCACTATGTATACTCCCTTGAAGCTTTCATCAACTCTCATCACATTTTCATGTATTCCTTCTACCCACTATCTACATTCAATACCAAAAAAATGGCTAATTTTTCATTAAACAAACTCTTTCTTCTGATAGTTTTCCTTGTACTGATAACAGTTCCACAGTCAAAGGCAGCACTGGATACTCATTATTATGATCAAACATGTCCTGAGGCTCAGAAAATTATACTAGACACTGTACGAAATGCTTCCGTGCATGACCATAATGTCCCTGCTCGTATTCTCAGGATGTTCTTTCGTGACTAATTCATAAGAGTACGCCATTTTCCTATTCTACGGTCAAAGTGCAGTTGTTTCAGCTTGAAATTTTATTGGGTGTCTGAAGTTTTCTTTGGTTGTTTGAAACATTAATAGGGATGTGATGCATCAGTGTTGCTAGACTCAACTCCACAAAACCAAGCAGAGAAATTTGGCCCTCCAAATATCTCTTTTCGAGCATTCTACGTGATTGATGCTGCGAAAACCAAGCTTGAACAGGCATGACCGCGTACAATTTCTTGCGAAGATACAATCACCATTGCAGCAAGAGATGTAATAGCCATAGTAACATTGAAAATGTTTATCTAAGTTAACCTTTTGCAACATTGAAAAGAGCAATTTTGATGTGCTTCTTTCTTATTGTTTTTGTTCTTTCCAGTCTGGAGGGCCCTTCTGGAATGTACTTAAAGGAAGGAAAGATGGAAGAGTCTCCAGGGCTGCTGAAACAATTAAGTTACCAGCGCCATCTATCAACGTTTCACAACTCATTCAAAGCTTTGCTATGAGAGGTTTAGGAATCAAGGATTTGGTGGCTCTATCTGGAGGTCACACTCTAGGATTCTCACACTGTCCTTCCTTCCAAGCTCGGCTGCGTAATTTTAGCTCAGTTCATGACATCGACCCTAATATGGACAGTGAATTTGCAGAAACTCTGAGGAAGAAATGCCCGAAAACAAAACAAGGATCGCAATGCAGGGCAGTTCTTGGACTCTTACGGCATCGACTTTTGATAATAACCACTACAAACAACTTTTGGCTGGAAAAGGCGTGTTCGGATCTGATCAAGCACTCTCCAGTGATTACAGGACTAAATGGATTGTTGAATCATTTGCCAAGGTTCAAGGTTTGTTCTTCAGAGAATTTGCAGCATCAATGGGGAGTCATGGAAACGTAGGGGTGATAGAAAATGGAGAAGTGAGACTGAATTGCCGAATGGTAAATTGAGGCTGAGAGAGAAATACCAAATGAGAGTGGCAATATGACAAAATTTTCCTTTTTTTCATTATGCGAAAGATTAATAATGATATGTTGTCCTTCTGAATTTAAACAAACTTGATTTTCTTGCTTAATAGTATATATAAGTAGCAAAAAGCGTGTTTCATTAACAAGCTTCATAATAATTACTCTATTGCCTACAAAAAAAAAAAAAAAAAACTTTTACTGTAATTTACATAACAGTCATGATAAATCGATTGAAGCCATATCATAGGGAAATTCTCCCGACTTTATTCTACTTCTATTTACAAATGACTCATTATTCCTACAGGTAAAATAGGCAGGACTGCTAATGTTGCCAATCATGAAGGCTCATCAATTGTAGGTCATTCGAATGAGAACTAATAAGTTGGCTAATGGTGGTGTTCAAATAAGAGTGCTACAAGAAGTAATGCCTCATTTCCAAAGTGATGATATTTGTTTTCTGGTCTTTCTCGTACAAGTATCCTCTAAATGAATGTTTCAGACTTGGTTCCTCCATTAATTAATGTCTGACTTTATGGATGCATATCGATTTATATAATTCGTCGGAGACAAGAACAATCGCCATCTTGCAAAGTCCAAGTTAAAATTAAAAGTCAGAGAGAACAGGACTCACTAATCAAAACAGTTTCTTATTTCTCCAAGGCAGCAATGATTGTTATCAGATGCCAACAAAGCTCTGAAAATGAAGTAAAATGTTAAAATTCTTATCAGATAAAGCAATTGCATACTGTTAATACAAGGTGACAGTATATTACGAATATACATCAATACTACTGGCATGAAAAATAAAGTTCAAAATATGCTTTAAGACTGTAATCATGACAACAATATAAGATGAAGTATTTATGGTTGATGTCCACTTTGCTTGTTGAGTCGTACAGTTTCAAAAATATCTGGCATTCAACCTGACCAGGATTTTGGATGCATTACCATTAGTGCAAGAAGCATAAACTTTAAATGCAATGTCACCAAGAAACGCATATATGGCAAAGTGATAAACCAAGAAAAAAATGTAAATTGTAAAGGATGAAAGTATAGTTGTCATAAAAAAAGGCACATAAATAGCCATGTAAAAGAATGCTCCCTCACTTCTGGTATCATTATATTGCAAAAACCACAGAGACAGTAAGCTATGAAAAATCCTACAGCTTCAGCTCCAATTTAGCAACACAACATTAGCATTTCATAATACGAAAAATTGCTCATCACAGAATATTCATTTTTTTTTTCTGTCACAGAATGTTCCTAGGCATGAAAACATGCTGAAGTGAAAGTTCGGAAATCTAGTAACTCCGGGATAATCCATGTCTGTTATCTGCAATTACTAAAAGGGAATAAAATAATATATCTATATACTATATCTTACAAGAATCAGTTATCAGCAAAAGGAAAAGACATAGCTACAATTATTGTAAAATATAGAGGAAAACTTAGCAAACCTTCTCAATTCAAAAACTAGTGCTCCCCCTCAAGCAAAAACCACATCTGATCGGAAAACATACTTGATACCCCTGGAGACATTTCGAGCTTCATGTAGCATACATTTGTCACCGTGAATGTGTAGGAGAGCCATTCCTTCAGCAGGAACTACCTGCAGAGTTAATATTACATTAATAAAGGATATCCAAAGTAAGCCATACTGCTAATCATAGGAATTTGAAAAAATTAAAACAAAATAAAAGAGGAGAATTGCTGTTTGAGGAGGGGGAGCAACCAAAACAATACGAAAATGATATAAATTGCAAAGAAATTTGCCTCTGCTACAACATTATATCTTGAACCATAGAAGACAGTCTCCCCTCCAACTAGAGGCTCTGATGCAGAATCCTTCAGGTTGCTTGAATCACTTTTACCATTGGTTTTGGGAGCACCACTTAAATATATTAACAAAGTATAGTGGGTGCGGTTTCCCTCTCCAAGATCAACACTTTCGTCAATATGCCGTCCAAAGCGCTGACCAACCTTATACCTGGAAGTAGAATATTCATTGCATGGTAAATACTAAAAAACCAACATTCACGTAGACAACAGAAGCAAATTATACAGCTAAATGATTGAGAAACCTTCAGCACACATCATAATCTTTTATAATCCAACACAGTTATTACTTCATAAAGTTATATATGTGGTTTGCAAGTCACCTAGGCACAGCAAAATTATTCTTTAATCTTCAAGAAGCATTTCAGAGCAAAAGAATCTAGCATAAACTGGTAATAAAGTATGTTATTTTATTGACATAAAAGTAATTTTGAACATAAGGGAAGGTATTAGATGTACCTGTAAAACCGAATATTTGGATTCAAGCCAATTGCAACCTTCCCCCTAATTTTAAAATCAGAGAACAATTTACCGAGACCAGACTGCCATATAGTATCTGCAAGAGCTGGATCATTAACAGATATTCGGTCATTGTCTCGGTAGGCTTCGCCTTTTGTTGGACCAAGACTTCCTTGGTGTTCAAAACCAGCTGACTCTGCAGCTTTAATAAATGCCCTCGATTCTGCAGATGTGAAGAAATTCTGCACCTGCACGTATTAAAAACAGTAGAATCATTAACACGCAAGGATTTCAGATCACATTCGACCAGAAAGCAATTTCCCTCCATAACTTATATGAGACAGAATTCGAGAGCAAAACTTTAATGCCTAATAAAGATACAAACCATATTGTTAGCAAGTGTGATTTCCACATTCTCTACTGAAAGTTCAAGTCTTGGGCCTTGCACGTTGAACATGTCAAAGTAAAATCATATTCAATTTAAAGCAAAGTCCGCACAAAGGAATTCCAAAATAAAGATATGAAACACAGCCCAGAATCAAATTCAGCTTAAACTTGACCTACACTCAATCTCACTGTTTTAAAATCAAATTAGAATAAAAAAGAATTCAGCTTTTATTACTCATTAGACCAAATGAACAAGCTGCTAAACATCGAAACAGAATTCGGTTCTATTCACTTTTCAAACTAATTTCGCCCCTTACAAGAACACAGATGTGAAACACTTGAAAATTTGAACCTTTTTTTTTTATATAATTTCGTTACCAAACTTTCCTTTCATCAAAACTGAAACATGTTTAACATTTCATATAAAAAAAATTGCATCAAAACTATATATCAATGCATAGTCTCATGATTTCATTTTAAAAAAAAAGTAAAATTGGAGATTAAAATGGGAAACTAATTAAAATAACAGAAGAGAGAAATTGAAGAGAAACGTACGGTGAAGAGATCGTTGTCTTTAAGGCGGGTAATCTGAAGGTTCAATTTGGGTTTAACAGCAGGCCATTTTGCCTTTGTCGTTGTTTTCTTGTCATCGGCTGCTCTTCTCTCCCCCATTTTTCTCTTCTTTGTTCCTGCCTCTGCCATTCAAATCCAGAACTACGAATCAAATCAGGAACAACTCTTCTAACTTCGACCATTATTTGTTTGTATAAAAGAATTATAGGTTAGAAGCCCATTACGCTTTCTTATTGTGGACCATGGCCCAATTTATAATCCCATTTCTAGTTGGGCAAAACTTGATTCTATCTTTCAAACAATTTACCTTCTTTTTTTTTTTTTAGAAAAAAGAAGTCCAGTTTATTTTTCTTTCCTGTTTGACAAGAAATTTTTTGGTAAAAATTTGTGATGTGATTCAAAACAACTCTAGGAAATTTTAGATTGTGAGATGAAATTTGAGTGAATAAGGTTTAATTGTAAGAATAAATTGACAAAATTGGTGAAGCATGTTTTGAAACTTCAACTGTTAGATATTTATTTTTCAGATTAATTTGAAATTGAAATAAATTTAATATTTATTTAAAAGGATTATTTTTATCTTTTTACTATCTAATATGGTCCATCATTATTTTTACGGTGTTTATGATATAAGTAGTAACTGTCTCTTTAATGAGAAGAGTTTATAAGTAACCACCCATCAAGTCCCTAATTTATGCAATAAAAAATATGTGTAATGCCTATCTAGCATGGTTGTTTTAGATTAAAAGACTTAAAAAGTTTTGACTTTATTCGTAAGGCTATGGCTGGAGATACACTTTCTTTTTCGCTACTTTTATCTTTATGTGTTTTGTAAACATTTTAGTTAATAGGTTTACTTGTGGTATAGAACTTTATTTTTCTACTTACCCAGCTCACCTCAAAGTCTTGGCATTGCAATTTTTTTTGTTGTGGACCTTTTTTTTTTTTTTTAATCAAAGATCTTATTTGAATGTTGCTAATTCTGTGATCATTTTGTCGAACTTTTTGGTTGATTAAATTTGTTTTATAATTTGGGCTATTAATTTGCTTGATAAGCATTATATTTGTTTCATTAAATAATTAATGGATCTTATTTGATTTTGGACTATGTTATGAATAATTACATGGCTACACTATTTAAGTTTTGAATATATAGCTTATTGAGTTTTTAATGAACCTAGAAATGTATAATTTATTTTAGCTTGAATTATTTTGAAATAAATATTTGATTCGTGGCTTTTGGTGTTTTTGGTATTTTGAAACATAACTGTTTAAGTCTTTTTCTGAAATCAAATATGATTGGTTTTGTTTTATAAAATTTGGGCTAATTTGAACTAATAAATTTGGATATTGAAGTAAACTAATAAACTCATTGTAATTGGAGCTTAATTTTAAGTAAATGATTAATTTGTGTCTTAATTTTATTTTTAGCATGATATTTAATTAAATTATGAAAAGTTTATATGTTCAAATTGAAATCCATTATGATGATGTTATGTAATCATGCGTATTAAAATAATTAAGGAATAGCCATAACATCATTAATTATAATAATATATGCATTGAGGATTTATTTTTTATTACATTGTAGTATGAATGACATCAATTCTAATTAATCATAATAATGTCATAGCTTTACCCCACAAGGAAGTTATTAGAGTGAAATAGAAAATTATTTATTTCTTAATTTACGGTATTAAGAAATGTTAGTAATTGCTAGTTTCATCATATAGTATTATGGATTAATTCTGTGTTGAATTTTTTACCCATAGTAGATTTTAATGACACTCGGTTCATATATATATATATATATGTTTTACATTCTAAACATATAATTTTGTTATATGTTATGCCTCAATTAACAAATTATTGTAAGTATGTTTAATTTTGTTTAATTGTAGTTCTTCAACCTTTGATTATTTCTGATGAAAAATATGATATTTCCTATTTGAGTGGTGGCAATTATAAAATTTGGAAGGAGAAAATTCTTTTTCATTTCGGGTGTATGGATCTTGACTATGCTCTTCATAAAGATGAGCCATTAGTACTCACAAATACTAATACCCTAGTTAAGATTGTTACTAGAGAGCGTTGGGAATGATCTAATCACTTGAGAATGATATTCATCATATCTCACATTATGACTAGTATTCGTAGGTCTATATTTGAATACAAAAATATTAAGGAATTGGTGAAGGCTATAAATGAGCAGTTTGAGTCTTCAAATAAGGCATTGACTAGCACCTTGATGTGAAAATTATCATTAATGAAGCTAACAAGCACTAAAGGAGTGTGCGAGCCTATCATACAAATGAGAAATATAGTTGCTCACTTAAAGTCATTGAAGATTGAGATTTCTGAAACCTTTCTAATGTATTTCATTTTAAACTCTCTCCCTTTACCATATGGACCTTTCAAAATTTCCTATAACATGTATAAGAAAAAATGGTCAATTAATGAATTTTTGATCATATGTGTTCAAAGGGAATGTAGATTAATTCAGGAGATGAGTAAAAGTGCACATATGTGAGTTAAGATAAACATAATAAATAAACCAACAAGTTGAAAAGGAAAAGAAAAATACCTACCCATACTGAAAAAAAAGGATCCTAAGTGCTTTTTTGTAAAAAAAAAAAAGGCAAGTCAGGAAGGAATGTCCTAAATGCAAGGCTTGGCTAGAAAAGAAAGGTAATCTCACATTTTTTGTGTGTTATGAATCTAATGTGGTTGATGTTTCTCATAACACTTGGTGGATTAACTATGTTTCTATAATTCATGATTCTAATGCCACGCAGGGTTTTCTAAACCAAAGAAAACTGATGGAAAATGAATGTAGCATCTATTAAGCAATCAGATATGTTCACATATAGAAGCCGTAAGAACTTGCAAACTAGTTTTAGAGACTGGTTTTATTTTGGATTTGGAACAAACTTTTTACATTCCTAGTTTTTCAAGAAATTTGATTTTTGTTTCAAGACTTGTCCTATTTGGGTTTTACCTTTAAGTTTTATGAAACATTTTTTAATTTATTACAAAACTCAATTATTGTTGGTAATTGTATAATGATTAATGGTTTATTTAAAATTCATTTAAATCATAATGTTCCATATAGTCTTATGGTTTCACATATTAATGTTAGCATTGAACGTTGTGTTATTGATGAAAAATCCTCTATGTTATGGTATCAGAGAATATGACATATCTTCATTGAGAGAATCAGAAGGCTAATAATAAATGATTGGGTACTTGATATTCTTAACTTTACAAATTTTGATTCATGTGTTAACTGCATTAAAAGAAAGCAACCAATAAAACTAAAAAATATGCCAAGAGGAATTTTGACATATTAAAGATCATATATATTGATATTTGTTACCTTATATGAGCTAAAATGGTCAGAAATACTTCATCTTGTTCACTGATGATTATTCATGATTCATATATCTCTACTTGCTTCATAATAAAGATGAAGTGTTACATGCTTTTAAAAGCTATAAAACAGAGATAGTAAAATAATGTGGTAAAGAAATCAAAATCGTGATATTACATCGAGGTGGAGAATATTATGATAGGTACATAGGGATTGGACAAACACCAAGTCTATCTACAAAGTTTCTTAAAAAAATAAGGTATTGTATCTTATTACAACTTGCCTGACATATTATTCCAAAATGGTGTTACAAAAAGAAAAAATCAAACTTTAATAGACATGGTGAGGAATATGCTTAGCAACTCCAAATTGCTATATCATTATGGAAGAAGGTCCTTAAAATTGTAACGTATATATTGAATAGAGTTTCAACTAAGGTGGTTCTTAAAATGCCATTTGAGTTGTGAAAAAGTTGAAAACCAAGTTTGAGACATATACATGTTTGGGGTTGCACAGTTGAAGTTAGGGTTTATAACCCACAAAAAAAAAGTTGGATTCTAGAATTATTAGTGCATCTTTTATTGGATATGTTGAGAAATCCAAAGGGTATAGATTTTACTATCCAAATTATACCACTAGAATTGTTTAATCAAGAAATGTTAAATTTCTTGAGAAAGATGTGGTTAATAGGAGTGTGTAATCTCCAACATTAGATTTTGAAAATGATCATGTTTTTAATACAACTTTCATATCAAGTAACAAATTTATTATTATAAATAACATCCATTAAGATGTAATAGACATTGAACTATCAAGTGTTAAAGTTCTCCATCCTATCGAAAATGTTCAAGCTAATCCAATTGAGCAACAAGCACTAAAAATATGGTTCCTATAGAGCAATAACCTTCACAAGAAGGAATTTCTATAGAGTATCAACCTTCACAAGAGGTGAATCCTGCTGAGCCATAAACTTAACAAAAGAATATTGATATAATATTGAGAAGATCAACTAAAATAAAAAAAATCAATAATATCTAGTGGTTATATTATGTACTTACAAAAATTTAACTACGATATTATTATAAAAAATGACCTTGAAATGTTTTCACAAGCTATGGATAATAGTAATTCCAACCGCTGGTATGATGTTATAAGAGATGAAATGGATTCTATGACAAAGAATTAAGTTTGGGATCTAGTTAAGTTGCCTAATGAGGTAGAAGCCATTGACTATAAATGGATTTTTAAAACTAAAAAAAAATCATTAAGCAACATTGAAAGATATAAAGTAAGAGTCATTGCCAAATGATTCACATAAAAAGAAAAAGTCGATTACGAGGAGATTTTCTCTCCTATTTCTAAGAAAGATTATTTTCGTATCATCATGGCATTAGTTGTCCATTTTAATTTAGAATTACATAAAATGAATGTGAAAATATCATTTCTCAATGTTGATTTAAAAGAAGATGTTTATATGAAACAACCAGAGAGATTTTTCTCTAGTGATAGAAATCATTTGATTTTTAAGCTCGAACGCTCTATTTATAAACTAAAGCAAGCTTCCCGTTAGTGGTATTTAAAATTTCATGATGTTATTTTTTCATTTGATTTTATTGAGAACATCATGGATCAATGTATATACTACAAGGTTAGCGAGAGCATGATCATCTTTTTTATTTTGTATGTTGATGATATTCTGCTTGCAACCAATTATATGAAATTGTTATATGAGATGAAATAATTTCTATCTCAACATTTTGATATAAAAAATATGGGTGAGACATCTTTTGTTATTGGCATTAAGATATATAAAGATAGATCTCAATATATATTAGATTTATCTCAAGAAGATTTCAAATTAAAGATTGTTCACCGTTTATAGCACCCATTATAAAAGGCAACAAATTTAGCTTAAACCAATGTCTAAAGAACAATCTTGAAAAGGAATAGGTGAAAACCATTCCTTATGCTTCAGCTATTATAAGCTTCATGTATACTCAGGTTTATACAAGACTTGACATTACTTTTGCTATTCAAATGTAGGGAAGATATCAAATTAATCTTAGTTTAGACTATTGTAAAGTTGCAAAGAAAGTTATGAGGTACCTTCAAGGAACCAAAGATTGCTTGTTTACATATAGACATCAAGATGATTTAGAGGTCATTGGATACTCGGATTCTGACTTTGTTGGTTGTGTTGATTGTTGTAAATCAACATTTGAATACATTTTCATGCTTGCTGGAGGAGCTGTATCTTGAAAACGTATAAAGCAATCTTTAGTTGCTATTTCTACCATGGAGGTAGAGTTCATTTTCTATTTTGAGGTGACATCGTAGGGTATTTGGATTAAAAGTTTCATATTTAGGCTTCGAATTGTAAATTCAATCTTTAAGTTATTAAAGGTTTATTATGACAATTCAAATTTTGTACTTTTGGTTAAGAATAATAAGAGTGGAAGTTAAAGTAAACACATTGACTTAAAATATTTAGCTTTGAAAGAGTGTGTCAAAGTAAATGAGGTGCTTGTTAAACACATTAGTACTAACTTAATGATACAGATCCTTTGATGAAAAACATGCTGCTAAGGTTATTTAAGGATCATGTAATGCAAATGGAACCTTAAGTTTAGCCTATTACTATTTGACTTGATGTATTTTGAAACTCTAAATGATTAATTTTATCTTTTCCTTTAAGTTTTTCATATACATATCTATTTGAAAATAACAAATATCTTGTGAAGACCTAGAATAAGCATTTGGGACTTATTCATAAAGTATAAAATATCATATATATGGTTTATTCGAAAAAAGAGATTATTTGTAATACATTGGAAGTAATACTCGTTTGAAGAAGATCTACCGCCATGATTCATGTAATTTATCTTTTCATTTAAGCATGAAATTTTAAAATACCATGTTGTAAGTATTAAGGTGAAAATGTTCGAACCAAGTAAGAGACTGTTAGATATTTATCTTTCAGATTTTTTTTTTATTTTGAAATAAATCTAATATCTATTTGAAAGGATTATCTTTATCCTTTTGATATTTGATATGGTCCATCACTATTTTCATGGTGTTTATGGTGCAAGTTATAATTGTCTCTTTGATGGGAAAAGTTTATAAATAATCACTTATCAAGTCCCTAATCTATGCAATAAAAAATATATGTAATACCCATTTAGCATGATTGCTCTAGATTATAAGACTTGAAGGGTTTTGACTTCATTGCAAGGCTATAGTTGATGGTACACATTTTTTTTCGTTGCTTAATCTCTATGTGCTTTGTAAATATTTTAGTTAATAAGTTTATATCAACGACCTGAGTGAATTGCTGGAACAAAAAAATAAATAAAAATTTGATTCAATGATTGCTGTATTTTATATTTTTTGTATTTTTTTCTCAAAAAATTGATTTCAATCATCTCATCCTATAATAAAAAAGAATGGAAGGATACAAGGCAAGAGGTTGGGTCCCATTTTGTGTGTGTGTGAAGGTTACTCTCCAAATCCGGAATATGTCCTGATCCTGCACTGCAAATGAGAAAAGTCTTCTATTCCCCTCCCCGCGTCTACAAGAATCAGTTGCTTTACAACCCATTCGAAAGCCAATGGTCAACTTAATTTATATTCACACTCACATCCTTTCTTTTCCATCATCTTTTGCTATTTTCTTTGACACATCGATGGCACATCTAAAGTCTTTTCACATGCTATGACCTAGGAGTATTAGTAGCGTTAAACATGAAAATCAGTCTGCTACTGAATTTCAATTTGATATAATTCTCAAGGAGTAGAAGTAAGCATCCTCCTATTTTCATTTAAAGAGAGTTAAAAGAACTCTTAGTACATGCTGTAGAGTCGTGATTGTTCAAAAGATTATAATGATCGTACATAAAATCAAACATTATTCATGTGAATATGTTTAATCGTCTTCATAATGTCATTAGCAAAATATGGTATTCTTATGGGAGGAGAATGCTGTTGGTGCAACTTGTCCTTCATGAGTCACACATCTGTTTCGTCTTTCTCACGACATGAAATGAAAGTAGTTGTTATACAATTCTGAAATCAATTGTGTTTTTGCTATAGAAAGATGATGCATATGAATTCATGAAAGGGGAATAGCTATGCTATTCTGTTAGGCAATAAAAAAAAAAAAAAAACTTAAGGCCATGCAAATTTTTGGAAAACAGTGAATAAATTATATGTCAATAACAGAATTATTAAAGGTATATATTAATTTTAATTGAAGTGGTAGATATATATGCCTAATATTTACCAAAGCCATATTCAATTCTTAATCTTCTGCAACGAAGAATCTTTTTCCTAACTTTTATGAAAAGAACACAATTTAAAAATCAAGTCTAACATATTGCATAATCTTTAGTGCTTGGAGTGAATAAGGATAATAGTTGATACCTGACTTTGCTTTTTTTTTTTTTTTTTTTCTCAAGGGATTCTTTAAGAAAGAATTCTCTCATAATTTGTTTGATAGTTTGGGATTTTAGCACTTCAATTTCATGCTGGAATATAATATATATAAAAACTTAAATTAATATTTATAAGATGTATTTTGTGAAATAAAATTATAAAATTTTTTATTTAAAACAGATATTACTTTATAAGTTGGTTTGAGTTTTTATAATTGAATCATTCAGAGAAATTTAAATGTTACATCATGGAAAGCACTTTTGGCATCTCAATGAATGAAGGTTAAGTGTTATACAATGAAAGTTATATCTAGAATCTTAATACTTAATGTATCCTAATTAGATAGGTTCTGTAATAGGTTTTTAATGAGGATGTCAAGTTTTAATACTAATGATGAACACTTACACCCAACATATAAGATATATATTTTTTATTTTGATCTAAAAATTTTATAATTATTCTTATAAAAAATGTTTCATAAATATAAATTTAAGTCTCAACATATATATTATAATAGATTTTTTAAATATTTAGAGTGTTACATGGATGAGGGCTTTTCTTATGGCTCCTGAATACTGCTAATGAGTGGTTTACGTTGATGATGTTGTGCTCGAGTTGCTTGATTCTATAGCTGCTGTTGTGGTCTATGCAGTGGCTATGGAAGAGTGGATTTTGTTTTTCTGGTTGATCTCTTGTGGAGTTGGTGGTGGACTGCTTGTTTTAGGAGTTGTTTATGTTGAGGGTTATGTGACTTGCGTAAAGCTGTTGAGGATTCACCTTGTCGTTTGCTTGTTTCATCACATTTAAGAGAATTTATAACTAATGATTCCTGTTTGGAGTGTTCTTATTTTATTTGTCAAAGATAGAAATGGCTTTAGGAGAATGCCCTTTACCATGGGTAGGTATGGGTAAGAGGAGAGGCCTTTAATAAGTGACGGATGTACGAGGATTAGTTCAGTAGAAAAGAGAGGGGTTTTTTTTTTTTTTTTTTGTTAATTTGGATTTAATTTTTGTTGGAATATTAGGATAGAAAAATTTTAAATTCATCTGGCTGATTCAGAAAATTAAATTGAGATAAAGATTTTTTAGTTTTGAATTTAAATGATTGAATAATCAAAATAGGAATATTTCAAAATACATTTTTTTTTAGCAAAATTTTTGAAGAAACAAAAGTAAACTATGTAATTTCAATAAACCAAAAATTAAATATTTCAAATCTAAAATTTAGAAAATAAATTATTAATTATTACAACAATTAACTAATGCTAATTATTGTAATTAAACAAGATGGGAGTGGCGGTCCTACTAGTAGTAGTAGTAGGCTAGTATAGCACGCATATTTAAGAGACCAAATACATAGGAAGATAAACCTAGACCACATCCACCTAAATGGCAAAATGACCCAGCCCTCCAACCCAACCCAATCCAATCATCTGCCTCTCTGCCACATCCAAAAATTGCATATAAAATGTGCTACTACCATTAATTTTCTTTATTTTTGACCAATCACAATTTCCCTTGCAGTTAGGAGCTAACATCATTCACTGTCGCAACCCCACCCACTTTGTTAAAAAAAAAACAAAAGTCCCTAATTTTAATTATAAAAAATTACTATATAAGACTAAAGCGAAAGGAAAAAAAAAATCCCAAAGTTACGAGTAGTACAAAATTTCGCTGACTATCCATACGAGGAGAGACACGTGACAGATTGCTCACATTCGTCGATGTACGGTGCTGCGGTGTCGCGACGCCATTAGCAAAGGAGCACGTCATTGTACGATGATGTTGTCCGATTCCATTTTCTTATAGTTTCTTTTTTTACCAGTTCTTTGGAGTGTTTTAGTAAATTCTGTCTGCTCCTTTCTAACTTTCCTTTTACTTTTCTTCTTCCTTGATTTTACCAAAACAAGATAATCCCCCTTCAGAGTCTTTTGAATCTTTTTTAATCACATTTTTTTATCGTTTATTTTGGGGTTGAATGATGAATCTGTTTTGATCATTGCCTTTTGTTTTCCACTCTGAGAGAGAGAAATAAGAGAACAGAAAAATGAATGAATAAGGTCAAAACAAAACGTAGGGTTTGTGGTTTGAGTATAAAGAGAGTGATAGTGATACATCAACAATCGAAAGATGGCCAGCGTTTTTGCTCTGTGAATCTTTTTAGGGTTTCTGACTTATTTTTTGTCATTTTCACAGCTCTGATTATTAATTCTTCGTCTTTCCCTTGTTCGTCTTTGCCCTGGAAAATTTTGTATGTTAACAGTACTTTCTTAATTGTGAATTTCATTGGAAAATCTTTCAGGGTTTTCCTTAAAACTCAAAATATTTTGTTCCTGCTGTTGATATAGCACTGGGTTGTTATCAATCCCTCCATATTTTGACAATATTCTTCATTTACGTTTCTGGGTTGAAGTTTTAATTTCTAGTGAATATTTTAACTAAAAGAAGTTTTGAAGTATTTTTCTTCTTGAATTTGGTGAGTATATTGTTTCTGGCTCCTTTTGGCTTTAGGGTTTTCAGGAAATCTTTACTGTATTTTTAAACGTACGAGTTTTGATCGTGAAAGTAGGAGATGGTGAGAGGGAAAGTTCAGATGAAGCGAATTGAAAATGCAACAAGCCGGCAAGTGACCTTCTCCAAGCGTCGAAACGGTCTGTTGAAGAAGGCTTACGAACTATCGGTTCTCTGCGATGCTGAAGTTGCTGCCATCATTTTTTCACCGAAAGGAAGATTATATGAGTTCTCAAGTTCTGAGTATGTTCCTTCATTTGTCTTTTCTTTTCTTTTTTTTTTTTTTTTTTTTTTATAACGTCGATTTTCAAGATAATTTGTTTAAAGTGGTTTATAAGAACCCGTGTTTTAGCAACAAAGTGTGGGTAGTTGCACTAGTTGAGGCCTAGTGCTGATGATGTTGGGCTATAATTGCTTTGATATGTAGGAGTTTCATTCGTGTCTCTTCTCAGATCTCTCTCTCTCTTTCTCTTTTGGTCTCAATCATATATCTTTCCCACCAATTCAATTTTATATTGTTTGAACTGCAAAGATTCTGTGAAAAATCTTCTCAGATTAGCACATTTATGGTGGACTTTTTGTCCTTTGACCACCTTATTGTGCAATCTTACTCTTGGTGTTTGATCTTCTTCTTCTTTTTTTTTTTTTTTTTTTTTTTTTTCCGATGGTTTTTAGAGGGGTTTTCTTAACTTTTGAAGAAGCAAAAACCAAAAATTGTATACAAGTAAAGAGCATATATCAAGTCCTTGGAATCGATATTGTTTTTATGTGTTTATACTATTTGTTTATAATATTTTTGAGTTCCATCCCTTTTCTTCTTTTAAGAAATCATTTGTCTTCAATATGTTGAATAGACTTGAAGTAGATCTTCTCATCCCTTGAAACTCTATTGACTAGCTTTATTTCAATCCTTGTCTAAGAATGACAGGGCGTCTTCTAATGATTGTCTTTTAGGGTTTTGCAAAAGCTTTTTGAATAGTGAATGCAGCCAGTTGCATGCCTAGCTAGTGGTGCTGGGAATCAGCCATTGATAGTTCTGGTTGAATCGTTAGATTTCCAATATCTTATCGCATCTTAGTAAAATGGAAAATACTTTTGAATGTGACTATTTCTTTATAATTGTACAAATTTGCTTGTGGAACTAACTTCTTTCAACTCTTTAATCTAGCCTAATTAAAGGTTGAGATGAATTGTTGGGGCAAGAAAGGATCTAATATCCTGTTTAATATTAGTTCTCATGATTGGTGTAAATTTGAAGTACATGAATTAACTTGATGATGGATCAAGAATCTCACTTATGTGTTCCTAGAATATGTTGAATTGATGAATCAGTGGATTTCTACCTTTCAAGGGGGCTTCAAATCATCCATAAATTGTTCCAAGAGACCTAATTCACATGATAGAGAACTTAAAACTACAAAATACGTTGCATGAAAAGGGAAAGGGAATAGCATGATCTATGCTAATCTGTTCTTATTGTCTGCTTGTGCTTTAGGCCATTGTCTTTCCTTCTGAAGTTTAACATGTTTACTGGAAGGGCTATATCAATTGATTTTCCATTTAGTGCATGCGTGATGTTATTTTTTCTGGTGTTCACCTGCACCATCGTGTTCTTTGCTTTCTTTTGCTTTAAATTATTTTTGGAGTTTTCCATAATCAAACTTTGTTAGAAGGAAATTGATAGTACAAAATACTACTCATGAAAATGAAAAGTGTGATTTTTGCTAATCTATTTCTGTTATCTATTTTAGTGCTATAGGCCATGGTCATTAATTTTTTGCTAAAAGCCTAACATGTTTTCCAAGAAGGGCTATTTGAATTATTTAGCCATTTAGGTCATGTTTGATGCATAGGATTATTGATAGGATAGGATAATAATCATCTTATATCATATTTGATTTGTATCTAAAAAGAAGGATAGGGATTACAAGGAGGATTAATATCCTCTTGGCATAGGGTTATTCAATCCTCTCCAAGTGGAGAGGATTATTTTTAATCCATGAGATTAAACTTATATGTCCAATTATACTCTTAAAAATTACATCAATAATTTAAATTATATAAATTTTGAGGAAAGATAATTTTGACTAATAAATAAATTATCTTATCTTAATCATTGCACACATCAAACATAAGATAGGATGACATTATTTAATCTAATTCTATCATATCTTATCATAATCTTATATACCAAACATGACTTAATTATATTAACCTCTCTAATTTACCTAGCTTCTTCATTTTGCTCTTTGCTTTCTTTTTCTCTAAATTAATATTTGGGAGTTTTTTGTAATAAATTTTCTTTGAAAAGGGTTATAGTTTGGTTAGTTGATTGTAACTGTGATCACTCTCTAATATTTTGAATCATCCAAAATGCAATGGAAAAGTAAAGTGAAAACTACTAGAAATCTAGTACAATAGTTATTTGGGTTGTTTTAAAATAATTAATTGATAAAGGAAATTTAAGATTTTCCTTTTTATAGGAAGGATGAAAAAAAGGTAAAGGTGAAAAACATATTAAATCAATCATTAAACATAAAGTAGGAATGTGATTATAAAATCTAACTATAACAGTAGCAATTTTTATAATGTGATTATAAAATCTAAAATTTTTTTTTATCAAGTATAGCCTAATTATCGGGGTTCTTATAGAACATTAGACTTTGCTTGATAGAAAAAGTAAGTATCAAGCAAAGTCTAATTGTCGGGCAACTATAACAAAACTTCTACTATAAATAAGAAAACATGGCTAACATTTTTCAAATCTTATGAACAGTGCTGTTTGTTTTGTTTTGTTTTTAATTTTCAAACATTTATGCGAGGACGGAAAGAAAGAAAAGTTAGAAAAGAGAAAAATTGGATAAGAGAAGGAAGGGGTAAAATACACTAGAAATTGTCGGTTGGATGAAAAAAGAAAGAAAAGGACTTACAAGGAAAGAGAAATTGAGTGGATGGTGATCGATGAGAAAGGAAAGGGATGAGGATACCTAATTTTGTCTTTGACATATTACTTTTCATTTTTGTTTTTATAACTTCATAAACTTTTTTTTCTTGCTCAACCAACCATTTTATTGATTTAGTTTAAAAAGTACATTCATTTACTTCTATCCATTCAAGGGTATTAATACTTTCCTATTACAACACCTATTCCTTACTACATATAATGAATAGATTAGAATCACCTCACAACCAAGCAAGAAATAGTGTTGATGATTCCATACCCATTTTGGCCAACAAATTTGCAAATTCATTAGCCTTTTTGTAGACATGCACGAAGTTCACCTGTCTTACTTTTTTTCTTAGTTGATCAATCTTTTCTATCTCTATCCATTGTGTCCACGATCGAGCTTCCTTATTCAACACTAAGTTAATCGCCATTTTAAAATCAAACTCTATGATTAGCGCCTATTTGTTATGCCATGGAGAATCGAAAAAAACTTTCAGTGCTCTTTTAATTACCAAAAACTCAACCTAAATTGGATATTGTATTCCTAAGGGACCATAGAACAAACCTTTTATATTTCCTTATGCATCTTTAAGCACACCACCACAACCTGCAGGGCTTAATTTCTCCTTTGTCGCACCATCAACATTAAATTTCAATACATTACCTCTTGGGCACTTCTATTATACACCCACTCTAATCCTTAATTGCCTTTCACTTGTATAGTGTGTTGTAGGTTTCATCCACCACTCTGATTCCTTTATATAACTTTTCTCCCATAGCTTTATCCAAAACAATGTCCTTAGTTTCATTAGAAACATAATTTCCTCCACTTCTCATCTTTTGTTCTAAAAAATTGTCTCATTTCTTACAAACCAAATTGACCATAATGTTGCCCCACAAACTGCTAGCCATATTTTTTTGATAAGTCCCTCAAAGAGGCCTCTTACATACTGATTGAGCATATTTCTACACCCCTCTGTTATCACCCAATACAAACCCCACCACCTCAAAACAGAACCCCAAATAGCTCATGAGAATTGGCACAACAATAAAACATGTACACAATCCTCTATAACCATCCCATACCATTAACATATACATTGCTCTTCACCTAAGTTTATCCATCTAGTTTTTAAAAAACATTTAGAAGGAATAGAATTCATTATGGCAAGCCAAAGAAAATTTTATACCTTTGAAGTGATTTTGAACTTTCAAATAGGATTGAATCACTCTTGTTGATCATTAGAGTTTTGTTGGCCTTCAAGCTTTGACTCAAATTATTTCACTAATAACTTTTCTGTTCAGTCTGCTTCTTACACCATTTTATCACCTATGTTAGGTCTTAGTACTTCTCCCTTTATTGTTTCCAATAAGCTTTTCCACAACTTTTTTTCCCATTCAAATGGTGTCATTCTCCAAAAAACTTTCCACTCTTTTATCTCTATATCTACCACATCCTTAATTTTTCTTTCTCTTTCTAGTGCTAATGCAAATTGTGAAAAAACTAAGAAATAAAATTGTGTGAAAAATTAAGAGTAAAACTGAATGTATATTAAAAAATTACTCATAAAGAATTATACAAGTACCTTAGGTTTATAACTAACTAACAAATGAGTAAACTAGAAAACTAAATCTTCCTAAAAACTAATCTTATAATTGAGGGATTGTCTATCCTAATTTTTTGCCCTTAATTTTAGGGATACAAATATAAATATACATATTATAAGATTATAATCAGTTGTAAATAAGTATTTTTTCACGCTCTCCCTCAAGCTGGTGAATAGGTGTTTTCCATTTCCAGCTTGAAAATAATTTCTTGAAATGTTACATTGTTGAAACCCTTAGTTAACACATTTGCAAGTTGACCCTCAGTAGATACATGGTGTACAAATCAACCTGCTGTCTAGTTTTTCCTTTATAAAATGTTGGTCTACTTCAATGTGTTTTGTTTTGTCATATTACATAGGATTGTGTGCAATACTTTATGCAAAGTTGTTATCATAGTAGAGTCTTATTGGTCTATTTCACTTGATCTTTAAGTCTTCTAGGATAATCTTTAACCATAATAGTTCACAAATTCCTTGAACCATTGCTTTGAACTCTGTTTCATCACTTGATCTTGACACCACATTCTATTTTTTACTCCTTCAAGTAACAAGATTATCACCTAGAAAAGTGCAATAGCTTGAGGTTGATCTTCTATTAGTTATTGAACCTGTATAATTAGTATCTGTATATGCCTCTAGAACTAGTCTTAAATTTCTTTTAAATAAGATACCTGTATCAGAATTAGCCT